TCTGTTTTCAAGATACTCGACATATCATTTAATCAGTTTATTGATCATGGAGTAGCAACATTCAATTTGAACTCAGAAACAAAGTACGTTTTATGAAGCTTGATTGAGTAGTTTTAAAAGTAACATGCTACATGGTGTTTCGTCTGAATAGTTAGGATAAAAGAGTGAAACCAAATAAATTCAAGTAAACTCTGACTCTCAGAATTCATTCAGTTTACTCGTACTCAAAACGAAAACAAAATAAAGTTATGTTCTGAAACTTAGATGGGTTTGCATTTACTATTATACTTTATTAATTTGTCTTATATTTGGCAGCGTAATCCACTAATCATAATGTAGCTATTTAAGTTATAAGCTTAATGCTGAGACAAATAAAAATACGACGGGTATAAACAATAGTTTGGTGAAATTGGGCGGCGAATTCATTTCTCAAGTTGTTTTCAGCTGACAAATTTCCCAATTATGTCTTTTTGAGCTATTTTTATCCATGTTTACTTGTAACAAAATAAATAAAGCGAAATTGTTTAGTTTTCCTAGCTGGAACTAGTAAAGTAATTTTCAAATATAGAAAAATAACCATATCATTGTTTCTACAATACATGCTGAATGAAATTCGAAGTTCTATTTACTGAAGTATAAGTTTAAAGCTGGAAAGTGTTGTTGTTCAGTGCGACTGTTAAACAAGATTTTAAGCGACCTAGTCAGAAAAAATGGTCATATTTATTGACGTATCAAGATGATGAAACATCGTAGTTGATAACATATTGTGATTTCCTGAACACAAAAGGTACGGTACATTGGTCTTGGGTTCAAGAAAAAATCTTTATATTAATATCTCATGATAAATACCTACAATAAAATACTAACTGAAAGCCATATGTATGGCCAACTCGTCAGAGATCTTATAAGTCTAGCATCCCTGGTCAGAATGTTAACTCCAAATCCTACTTGATCCCCAAACTATTAAACTTTTTGGATGCTTCAACAATCGAGCGCCAAATACTGCAGTGGTTTTTATATATGAGTTTTCGAAATATGTGGAAGATTCAATATACAACGTGTCACCATGTTCAAGCATTAATATCGCTTGTGAATAATGCTGGTGCTGACATGAGCTCGAAGGGACAGAAAAGTCGAATCATCATTTATTTAAATGGCTGATGAAATAACAAGATATTTACCATTATTAGTTATCTGGTCTTTAAATTGAAAATCTTCAGACGACTAATCATCGCAATCCCTATAGATTTTAAAAAATCCGTTACAGCTTTACTGGGATTCTTACCGGTCAAGGCGAGGATCAGCAGAGCAAGGACAGCATTTCTACAACTGAAGAACATATGAGACTCAAAACAAATGTCAGCTAATTTCAAAGTGAGAATCTTCAATACGAACATCAAGACAGTCCTACTGTACGGAGGTGAAACGTGGAGAACTACTACAACCATTGTCAAGAATGTACAAGTATTTATAAGCAGTTGTCTACCCAAAGTACTCAACATTTACTGGCTGGATACCATCAGCAACAGCGTTTTATGAGAGAGGACAAACCAGCTTCCAGGTGAAGAGGAAATTAGGAAAAGACGTTGGAAGTTGATCAGACATACATTAAGGAAATCACCCAACTGCATCCCGAGGCAATGCCTAACTTGGAATTCGGAAGGGAAACCCAAAAGAGGAAGGCCAAAGACTATATTACGTCGGGAAATGGGAGCAGATATGAAAAGGATGAATAACAACTGGAAAGGATTTCCCAGGACAGGGTTGAATGGAGAATGCTGGTGTGTTGCCTATGCTCCTCCGCGATGGGTAACAGGCATATGGAAGTAAGTTTCCGGTCAATAATCAGAACATTATTTTATTATCAACCTCTTGTAAAACTCAAAAATTTGTGGTCGATATCATCTTAAGTAAAACTTTATGAAAATCAAAATTTCAAGAGATTTGAAATTTACGTTTTATTCAACAAAACTTAACCAATCCACCTTTGAATGTCGTATTCGAATGCTAGGATAAGGATGATCACTTTCATAAGTTGTACAAAGTATTCAAATAAAACCTTGTTCAAATTAATTAATCAGGAATTATAAATTTTATGCACTTTTTAACGACTTGACGCTCACTGATATTGTCTTAACTTCAAGCATCTAATAAATTAGTCAAAAAAGTTTACTTTTTAAAAGCATATTTTGCGACTTTCTTCGCTTCACTATATTTGTTTGTGGTCATCCGTTTTTGTTGTTTATTGAAATTCTAAGTTTTTGCTGCAGATTGAGGTTATCAGAATGATTAAAACAAAGTAGTAAGGTTCAGGTATTAGAGTTTCGCCGATGCGAATCGTTTCAGGAGTGAACACTTAAAACTTTATACACAAATGAACCTAGAATTTTCAGGCTTCGGTTGGATGAAGATACATGAATATAACTCAGTCGAAACTGATTGATCTATGCTAACAACCTCAGTCAGTTCGTAAGCTAGCGTGATCTTCAATCTACTGTTTAATTACTGTTCCATTTCCATTTTGGCTACCTGAAGCATTGTAGCCAAAACGCCGGTAAATTCACATCAGAGATTGATAGTAATACGAATTTAGTGATTTGTAGTACGACTGTTTTTGTGAGGTTGTATCGACTAGAAATTTATTTTATAAAATAAAAAAGACACCAACTAATTGCATGGAAATATTCACTCTGATCATATAAATTCTAGTTGTCAGTTTTCTGATATAAATGCATCTCATAATACCTATGACCGGAAACATATTTTAGGTCAAATGTAGAAGTGAAAACTACGTCAACTACTTATATAGGTCCAGTAGATAATCCCAGTATTGATGCAGGTAAACGACCTAATTCATTTTTGAACAAACTAGGCTACATAAGTATCATAACAATAACAATAATACTTTTTAAGCCATAATTATAGCCAAAAACTTATAGAAATGAATGGTCTTTCAAATATCTAATTATTCAATCTCAAAAACATAAACTGCATATTGTCTTACTCTTAATCAATTGAAATAATTCTGCTTATCCTTAATCCTTTATCACAGAGGATTAAGTAGGGTGATCATTACTTGCTCTACTTTTTGCAAACTCATACTGAGATTTTGTTCCACAGAAAACAAATTTTCAAGTGCTATTTACGTATGCACTCATTATCGTGATAATATATTATTGGCCTTAAGTTTAGCAAAATAAAGTCTTTTTGAATAGATGGGTTAACTTTCCTTAGATGTGACTGCTAAGTTTAGAACTTATTATTGCTACAAATAAAAGTTTGTAAGTTTCGTGTTATGGTCAAATATAACAAAAATATCCCATACATTTATTTGTGTATTATGACGATACTTCAATACGTCCACTATCAAGTCTTTAGGCAATTAAAGTAAGCAAATCAATCGATCGTTTACAAACCCGAAATAAATTTTTGGATGGTGATATCCGCCTATTTTCTTCTAGACTTTGCTGAAGTATGAAATTTAATTTCTACTAACTAATGTGAAAAATGTGAAAGTAGAAAGATATTTTGGTACGACAATAATTCCTTCATCATGGTAAAGTTAGTTTCCGTTACATATGATGTTTCAGACCCTTAATGTTCTAATTTAGTGAAATAAACAGCTGACAATAAAGGAAATCAATCTGTGTAGTTTGGTGTGTTATAAAAGTGTAGCACTCCAGCTCCATTGCGTATTGATCACTCATGAATCTATGGTAAACAAAATGAACCGCCTATTTAACTTCAGAAACTAGACTTAACTGAATAATAAGTGTACACACCTGCTTTTTAATATATGTTTTCCCACATATAAGCACATTAAACATGTTTTTGATTATCAATAGTCATATTTTTCAGCTAGACAATTGAGAATTTCTTAATAAATAATAAGTGATCCATGATACATTCTCTAAATGACTGTCTACAGCATTTGTCAAAGACGATATTAAAATATAGTCCGTGTAATTGCTCACTACTGAAAGTTAAATATACAAGCCTTTTTTTATAATAATTACACAGTTGTTTGCTACCTAATCGAAAGGATATTTCAATGGGCTCATTATTGATGAACTTCACTTGGAACACACTGTACATTTTTAGTAACATTTCCAACTGTTATTCATATTTCCTTTAAAATCATCCTGTTCCCAGTTTTTATAAGAACTATTTAAGCAGCCGAAAATTCTACTGTGAGGTAAGTATGTGCAGTAGTTTATTAACTACTAAAACATTAAGTCATGTAAGACATTTTCTTCCCATCTCCCATAAAATGTATTGTTCACGCTTAAACGCATATCGAGAAAGATAGTTAAATGTTTGCGATTCAAGGAGATATGTATCGTAATATAGTTTACTACCAAGGTTTCATTTCTCAAAGATTCACAAAACATTTTAAATGTAAATCGAGTGCCTATATTTATAAGTAACATCGTAGTCCGATGTTATGAAAGATAAACACTTACGTAAGCTATGTTCGTATCTCACTTACTCTATCATTACTCGATGTGGCATCAATAAAAGGACATATTGCTTAGCTCTCCCACTTATTGTCTCTCTGTTTTCAATATAAATTAATAAGCTTCTGACAACACTTATTAACTTATTTAGTAACGGTGTTCAAATTGCTTCTGTCGACATAAGTTTACTTCCCGTACTCAACTCATTCACATTTCACTTTTAGTTGTCTTGCTGTTTATCGAGTAATCGTTTAAACTTGTATTTCCGTCCTTTAAAACCAACAAGTTTGAGTAATAATAAAATTTAATCTCTAAACGAATGAAAGAACAAAGACCAGGTATGCAGTATAAAGTGAGTGGATCTTTCCTTCAATCAAATAGTATTTCACAAGTGTAGACATGAAATTCATGTTGCCCTACTAATCACTTTCATCCTTATTTTTATTTCATTCCTATTCGCTTCCAATCTATGGCTTAGTTTTTTTTGGTTAAATTTAATTTTCATCTGTCTTTCTCTTGTTCTCTTATCTAGTTAATAATAAATGATAAACGAACAGGCAAGTTATTTAGAACGAAAACACTTTTTCAGAAATTAAAACAAAATAACGTTATACAAACAGAAGTATAGTTCTGCACATATTATTCTGATCGAATCATAACCCCCGCTTAAATTAATTCATTTCACAATTATTTACCAGTTTGAAATATTTCTATTTCTTTGTCTTGTCTCTTTTCATATAAATGTCTTCGTGAGTAACAAATAATGGTACGAATAAAATGCATTTGAGATTTTATCCATCTCATTATAGAATACTCAACAGGCATTATACAAGAATATGTTTGGGATTTTATGGTAAGTTTTTTACTCAATTGTTACTTACAAAAAAATTTCAAATAATTTTTAATTGACTATGCTTGATCTTCTATTAAAGCCCTCTAAAATAAACCAACTCACAATAGAAGTTTAACGACAAAAATCTTCGCGCACGGGACCTAAGGTCCAAGGTTCGGGTCCAACGTGCGAGATCGTAGATGCCCGCCGCTGATGGGTCTTACACTAAGATGACATGGCGGTCCGGTCCTTCCAGGTTTTCGATGGTATTCTAGCTTAGATTGGCTTGTAAATTCAATTTTAAAACAAACTTATAATTATTTGTTTTACAAGCCATTCTATTTTAATGAGAGTATAGAAAACTATCGTTGTTTATTGACTATAACTTATATGTCTGTATTTAGTTGTTGACTGTGAAAATAGCTATTATCCTTCTTAAAGTAATGCTTTTTTTCATTTATCTTCAAATAGAACGTGTTATAAACTAAGTTGGTTACTACTAATCGTTCATTATATTAACTACTACTCTAAACAAATCTGATGAAGAAGTACCATCCCAATAAAACATTTCATAGGAAATATTGAAAATGATAACTTTCGAAGAACTTTTTGTCACGCCTATTTGAATTCCTTTAGGAACAAAAAAAGTAAATTAAACAATGTTCAAATGAACTGAGTGGAAAAATTGAAATATAAAAACTGTTGCTTTTAAGCAGTTCGTAATGTAAAAAGTTTTAAACTCCTTGATAAGTCATGATTATAATAACGAAAATGTTTGTGAATTCTTCACATCTTCTCCTCGTCACAAAGGATCCTAATGAAAGGAATATTTTCACACCCAATGTCATGAAACAGTTCCGCGGTTTACATGACAACATTAAATTAAAATACTACTTACATGAAAATCTATTTACGTTATATTGGCCTATGAAAACTTTTATTTTAATATTACTCAAAATACTTGAAATTTTGCAGAGTTTATTCATTCAGACATACTGAGCTACTAAATATTACGTTTTATATAGTTACAGAGTTTCGTTTTTATATTGATAGAATATCAGATCGAACCGTAGCAAAATGGATATCTTACGCAGTTCAGTTTTTATTGAAATGAAGTTTATTAAAAAATACATAAGAACTTTCGTCTAAATTAGAGCGAATAGTTTCATAGTATTTGAGCGCCGAGTTAATGTTAGACATTAAATAGGAATAATATATTCCTTGAAAAAGCTTGGACCAGATTGCCAGGCAAAACGTTGGATTTACTTCAAATTCATTTGCTGAGATTCTACAAATATATTATTCCTATTTAAAGTTTATTAAAGTTTTGTCTTTATGATGAAGAATTAAGAAACTTCTAGGGTTTTGTCAAATAATTAATAAACAATCGTTTGAATTCATAAACAGAACAGAAACTGCGTCGACGACTGTTAACTAATGTGTTATTCAGCTTTTCTGGGTATGGTGGATATATTTCGTTGATAGTGAAAAACGGTCATTGATTCATTTAAAACCATGAGTCTTATATTTATGTACAGATGAAAGTTTTTGTTCTATGTATGACAATTTTATTTCAAAAGGTTTTATAAATGATCTGAAGTTATTCAGTAGTTCACTAAAGCATAACAATTCTTTCAATAACGCTTCGTGGTATGTGAATTATCGGGACAATAGTTCAGTAAATTTGAGTTTCACACAAACATATATTAAGTCGTCGTTACCATTTCTCAACTGGAAAAATACATGCGTTTATAGTAAATCTTCCAAACCTACCTGTTTAACCCTAAGAATAATCCATATAAAACAGAGGTGTTAAGAAAGCGAAGTCAAAATGACTGTTTGACAAACGAATTGAAATCCGCTTTATCAGGTCCCTTAATGTTTTGAGCTTTTGAAACGTTTGTACTCACATTGACCTGATTATAAGAAACTTTTGATAGCATAGTTGAAAAGCGATGCCTCAATACCTATGCAAGTAGTTCATAGTCGTGTCCAATTACAATGATTTGTTTTCTTTTATTTTTGTATAGTATGTTTTTCTAGGCAAAAGTGCTGACTATGGCAATTCAGCCTCAAAAAAGTTATAAAAATAAGTTTTTTTAAAGTGCTTATTCGAAATTATAAATAGCAAAGGCTTACGCAGAACCATGATTGATCTAGCTAACTAAAAAAATTATCTTTTGAAAATAGAAGAGATAAAATTAGATGAGTTAGTTTTTCCGTACTAATTTTAATAGAATCAGGTCCATCTTCCAATATAAAGATAACTTTGTTTATTATTATTATTATTTGAACATATAAATATTGGTACAAATGGTCACCGAATACATATGGGCCACACAAGCCACTTGATTTGTGTGTGAGCTATGATGATGCACAGGTGCCCAAACCGAAGCCAGTGGTTTTCTTGGGGGGAGGGCACACTCGGAGCCTTTGACATAAAGGTCTGACCCACAAGGCAGCGGAGCAACGTAAGGAGATGCAGTCCCATGGTAGCCAGTGACCAACGATTGATTCATACGTCATTTTCTTTCCTTAGGGTCCTGGAACCCATGTGCACCATTGGTTGGGAATTAGAGTTTTTCGATTCCCCTAGATGGACTCTCCGTGTCCACTAACTCGGTTAAAGCGCCAGACGTTCGTTTTTCATTTTCTCAATTTTGTAAACAACACCCCTGCCACGAGGAGGTCATGGGTAGGACTTCCCTGACTGTGGCTGTAAAGGCGCGGCCATCTGTGAGCGTTTTGAGAGGAAGAGCGGACTCCCTCCACCCTCGGCCGTACCAGGGAACTTGGGTGCTGTTTTTATGATTAAAGTCGAATCATTCATTTGTTAAATGTATTTCACATAAACATTCTGATACCCTTAAACTCCTTCTAGCATTAAAATTCTATTGGCTAATATATTATTATTTAAACGGTAAGCATTATTCAGTGACTTTTATCTATATAATCTTTTAAGCTACATAATCCTTCACCTTGGAAAAATAATTGAACCAATATAAAATTCTATTCGTAACTGATTGGTTCTAACTGAATGTTTCTTAATAATCGTTACTGAAGTTGCATATCTTTAGACTTTGGTAATAGTTGTAAGATTTAATTAGTACAAATAAATGCTCTAAAAATTATTTGAGTTTACTAACTCTGAATAGATGAGAGCAAGTTGTGATGTGACTCAGTTTATCATAAGAATAAACCAGCACTCTCATTTTGATCGATAATTGACGCGTGTTACTGTTGATCCAAGTTATGGTTTTGACCTTTTGAAATTGCCACAGAAACAACTGCTATTGTGACCTTTCGTATCTAAGTGTTATTCCGATAGAGTATTTCTGCGTAATTAAGGCATATTCCTTGGTTTACTTTGTCATGCTATGTATCCTTTGGTATTTATATATTATTTTATTAGTGTTCCACTTCGTACAGTTTTCTCTCTTCTCACTTAAGTGCATTTGTCATCCTTAAAATTTAGTTTGTGTATATGGCTTCAATTTATCTAGAAACAATTGATTAGCTAACATTTTAGAAGTATCTTCGATCATGTTGTTTTTGAACTCTAGATTTTAAACATTAAAACATATATTCTTGTTTATGATGAATTCCTCAATAAGTTTTACAGAACTTATTCTCATTAGGTAGAAATATCAGCTTCCCGAGTTACAGGCACTTTGACTAACTATACAGGTTATCGAAATACTAGGTAAGCTCTAAAATACATTAGACAAGAACCCAAACATACAAGAAAACTGATTGATAGGGATACTATCAGTGATTTTATGTCGGTGAGATCATTTACAAACGGAAATTAAAATGAATCCTGATATCATGCTTTGAAATTCTATTGTTTACAATTGAGCACAGTGTAAAATCTGATTCGTCCTTTAAACTAAAGCACTATTCCTTTAGAACAATCTTTATAATTAATCATTTATCTTTAATTTATTTTATTGATAAATCAAAAACTATTAGGATTTTATGCTGACTAAAAACTGATTCTTACTCCCATCTACTAGATTCAGAATTGACCATTATAGACGATTCATACATAGATTTTCAGGAGTACGAACATAATCTACTGGACAATGAAACACTATTATTTTGCAATAACTAACAGAATTCATTTTAAGGGAACATAGTTTGCAGATTAACCTTTTGGTTAACTTAAATTTGTGGAAAATTTTAAAAGTCATGTATTTCGGTTTCAAAAAACATTCATTATGCTTACAATCAAAAGTATTCACCTTCAACTCTTGGACTACCAGAGAATGAATACTAGTGTTGTGAGAACCTAGGTGTCTACTAAGAAGTCTTTAGATAAGCTTGAACAACCATCTGGTGATCTTTGGATTTTCTTATTTCTCCAAATGATGTTATATCATAGTAAGAATAGACTCCAAACCTGAGCAATCCCTAACTAGATTACTAAGAATTTGCTCAAAACATTGTCACGTGCTTTTACTTTAGAAACGGGACATGATTTCCACATTTTATTGAAGCTTGAATATATAACACATAACGTAACATTAGAAACATAACACGGAATTATTTTCATCAATTTTTCTACGACCAGAAATTAAAATAATTTTTTACCGTCAGTATGACATCTATTTGATCTAATATGTCAAACGTGTTATACGGTGGTGTTATTACAATCTGATCAGTAAACCATAAGATAATTAATTATTCATTTTCGAAGCCATTTTCTTTGAGAAATAAAACTACAGTTTAATATATTTCGTAAAACAAAACTTGTTATCTACAATGAATACTGTTCCTCCTACTAGTGTAATATTATTTATACAATATTATCAAGCATTGGTAGCTGAAAAGCAGGTAAAAATATTACTTTAACACTACCTTGAGATAATACACGAATTTCATTTTACGTATGTGCCCTAAAAGTAACAGATGTCTATTTATTCTATTGCTGGCATTTGATGCATTAGATTGTATGTTAAACGGAGCAATTGAAATCACTGAATTCTACTTTTAGTAGGGAAGACTAATTTTAACTATAT